CTAAAAGGTGTCCAATACACGAGTTAAAACACCGAATTCTTTCACAAATCTAGGGATGCCCTTGAGGCCCAATGTCAGGTATATATGCAGAGTATATAGTAGACCATGTCCTAGCCAGTAGTGCATTTTGGCCTCATTTCAGCACAGCACTGCGCGAGATGAGGTGCGAAATGTGCCCTTTTTATTCCTTACAAGATAGAAATTATCACATCAGCTTTCAAGCTGCTGAATTTGCTGCCCGTCACACCAACATGCTCCTGCAAAGACGCGCGCGCATCTGGCCGTCCCTCGAGCGTACCCAGCAGCGGCGCCGGCCCGTTGTGAGACTGACCCAGGTGTGGGCGGCTGGCCCGCCGCCTGCACCCAGGCGCATGACGCCAGCACCAGGTGGGTGCGTTCCCCCTGCGCCACTCAGGCGGGCGCCGCCCAATCCGGCCTGTCTCAGACGGTTTAATGCGATTATTCGCCGTGACAGACGCCTAATTCCTGTGAGAACAGTGACAGCGCGGACCGGGCGGCGCGGGGATCAGGGAGCGAGTACGTCCGCTTGACGCGCGCGCGGCAGCCTTCTGCTCTGGGATCGGTCGGTGCCGAGCGAGCGCCGAGCGAGCGGATGGGGCGGGGAGCGAGCCGCGCAGGAGGGAGCCAAGCCTTAGCGGATGGGAGGGAGGAGGTGCAGTGACGTATGATAGTTTACCCTCAGCTTGCATATATCGAGACACTACCCATATTCGCTGCATTGATACTTCTAGGGGATCGATAGGCAATATGACATTTTTGGTGGGTCCTGGACTTTTTAGAAATGAACGATACGTAAAATATGAGCGCTACCTGTATGTCGTTCCGTGACGTAGCAAGAAGGGAGATTTGTGAGAGAAACAATGTTATTTGTTTACCTAGGCGAAGATGACAAGCTATAAGTTGGAAGCTCTGACGAACAATGCCTTCATGTGTTGCGACACCCGCATCGCAGTTTTATGTCCTTGCAGAGGTAGTCGAAAAGAAATGCGGTCTTCGGTCCAAACAACAATTGCGTACAGAAAAGGAGTGGGTGACCTAAATACCCTGCAGCTGCATTATCAAGTCACTGATGTATCCTTTTGAGTAGCGGCTTTACTAGAAGTTGACAACTGTGGGTTTGACCGACGCTCTTGGGACCCGTACTGTTGTTCTGGAGGAAGAGGGCGAACCAAGGACGTGAGAATCAAAATCGTCGAAACAATAGGAGCTACGCTTTTGTCAAGGCAGACAAAATGCGTATCTACAGCGACCCAGACGACAAAGATTCGGCGTGACGCCACGTTGAATCACGCCTCCGCTCGTGGCTCGTGGATTCCTACCGCAGACCGATGGTGAAAGTTTCTTGGCCCACTAATAGGTCGCAATCTCCCCCTACTCGCTACCAATGGGCAAAAAACCACCCACACCTGTCTGCATATCAGGCTCACAAGATGCAGCTGGCTGGCCTGTGGCAATTTGCAACTGCAGGTGGAGTCTCGATTGCTACTCAGCACCACAATCCTGCCACTGTCGACCGCCTCCAGCCGGCTGACTCATGCATGTCCGTTGCGTCGAGTCCGTCGGCTGCCTCGAAGCGTCCCTCCCCGGGGAGGTGCCGCCGGACAAGCGTCACCAGCCCGGGTTCGCGGACTGCTCCGCCTTGGCGACCCCACCCGCGAGAACACACTTGGCCGCGCTCCGGCTCCGCGCCGCCGCGCCCTCCCACCGCAAGCGGCCGGCGGCCGGCCGGAGAACAAACGGAGAAACAGCTCGTTACGGGGCCTGACCCGGAGCTGAGGTCGGGTGCCCCGTCCGGCTCCCACGGCGTCGCCGCTCCGCCCACTTCGTCCGCTCCGTCAGGTCCGGATGCACTGAGGGCGTCCAATTCGCCGGCCACAGCCAGTCCGTGCGGGTGGCAGACGCCGGTCTCACATATGTCATCGGGAAAGTTCAATATCTCTCTTAATTTAAGAGCGGCGCCGGGTTCATTTTCGCTGAATGCCTGAAGAGTGCTTTGGAGGAGGGCCGCGTGCGACTGGCAGCTCATTTAGAACGCAGCGGTCTGGGGCAGCACGCGCGGACCGGGCCGGGTCGAACGCCAGGAGAATTTCCGCCGCGTCCCCCTCTCTCCTCCCTCCCTCCCTCTCCCTCCCGCCCCTCTCTCTATGCCTCTCTTTTTCTCGCTATCTCTCTCTGTCTGCCTCTGCTTCGGTTCTGGCTGGTGAGAGCCAAATGAAGCGGGATCGCCTGTGCCGCTTAGCGTCGTACGCTTACCGTGTGTCGCTTACCGTTTTATGACGTTTCGGAGGAGGAAGGGGGAGGGGTGGAAATTCGTCTTTCCCAGTGATGTCGCATCCTAAAATGCACCTGTCGTTTTTTTTCTTCAAATGCTGGTGAACTGGCACGTCTTTTCTTTCTCTGCCAGCTTGGAGCAGCAGCACGGCAGATTGAATCTGCTCGCTGAGGATGAACATTTTGCGGGCCTTCGGTCGGCATTGATTTGACCGGACGTTCTCCGGCTGCACAGACGCCAGGTGTTTGTGAAGGCATAATTTGAAGGAAATTTGATAGGAAGTTTGAGCAATGTCTCCATTCATCCAATGCGGAAATACAGACGCCGAATGCTCGCGCTCTGTCTTGGATCATTGCCTTTCGTTTTTGCATTGGCACGTTGTATGTGCTATGCATTAGGTATCGCGACACTCAACCTCTCTGTTCGAAGCATCCAGCTCTCGACTATGGTAGCTTAGCTTTGCCGCGTGTGTGTATTTTGCGTCTAGTTTTTATATTCAAGCTAATCATCGGAACAGTGATGTGAGACCGATTCTTTTTACATTGCATTTTCCAAGATCAACGCAAAATCACCCCGTTATGGTCAACACTAAACTAACTCATAGTTCCTGTTTTGGGCTGCAGCACGGCTTTCTCATGATGTGAGTCGGCACAGGATCTTTAGTGCGCATTCCAAACATGCAGCGTTTATTACAGGAGCTCTTACCCCCGTAAACCAACAACGCTCCCATCAACAAACCGACTCCCGACTCACTTAGTGGCTCGTCAGGCTCTCCACCAGCCCCCCCCCCCCCCCCCGTCCTCACAACGGACCCTATTTCCCCTCTTCTCCCTCTTCCGCCCGAGAGAGCGCGCGGAACAGCTCGCAAAACACGCCCCCGTCTGGCATTCCTGGCGCGTGCGTTCCTGGCGCGGCGGCGGCGAGTCGCGCGGCGCCGCATGGAACGGCGCGTGGTATTTATTTGCGGCGCGGGCGGACCATGAATAAATCAGTCCGCCCGGCACCTGTCTCCGGGCCGGCGGTTTTCGGGCGGCGCCGAAACTGCTGCTCTGATTTATGGGCCAGGTGCAGTCAACACCGGAGGCGGGTAAAAAACAAACACCCGCGCAGCCGCCACTGTCCGTCGGTCGGCACGCCCAAGCGCCGTCCGCAGCAGCTGGGCACGCCGCGACCTCTCCCCGTCTCGTCTGCGGCCGCGCCCAGCGACGCCGCCGCCGCCGCCAGGCGTCCCTACCAACAGCTGTCGGCAGATGTCTGACGCGCCGCGTGTTGGCGGTGGTGTTCATTTGAGGCCTCCCCAACCCTCCCCCCGTTGCGTCTTTTGGAGCTGGCCGCCCGCCGCTGCGCTTTTGCGCTTGTGATGCTGGCATTGGTTTTGAGATTGCTTTCAGAGTGGGTTCCTGGTGGATTTTTACTTTTGGCTGTTAACTGTCATTTGGGGCAGACTATCCACATTGCTGTTAGTTCTCTGTTCACCCACGTTTCCGTTCTGACGCACCATTTTTGAGGATGGTTCTCACATACTTGAAAAATTCTGGACATCTCTAAATCTAAGAATCTAAAAATTCATTCCATCATCTAGACTGCCTTCCGCAGAATGTCCCTTTTCATCTTTCCGAGGCAATTTCCAGCCAATGGCAACTTATTGGTCCCGATAGGGAAATCTCGGCCCGGGGAGGGGGGGGGGGGGAGGGAGGCGGGCACATGGGAGATACAGGAGGTGCATGTCTGCCGCCTCGATTCGCCCAGATTTTCAGTGAGGTAAGGTTATTTTTACTCAAAAAACGTCCCAAAGAGCAATGATCCCCTCCCCATCGCTTTTCTGGACTCGCCACTGCCGCTGTCGTCTTTATTTGCATCGCCGGTGAGTAGTGGGGCAGCATCTCAGCATCTGGGCGCTCCAGATTCTGGCAGTTGCAGGTCGCTGGGTTTGGTTCTCCTACGTTTGTTTTCTTGTAGTTCCAACAGTTGCATTTAACTTCCTCGCAATTTCTAACCAGTATGTGCTGGCGGGCATACCACGCTTGTTTGTAGGGGCCTGCCATGGACTAAAGTATAAGGACAGCTGAGGACTCCCAGCGCTTTTCTTTTCGTACAGCGCTCACATGCGTGATGGTTAATTCCGCAAAGTTCGAGCCTTGTACCCCATGATAGGCGGCTGAACCCAGAGAGGCAGAAAACTTGAGGTCCCAGGGCTCGGCCTCACCTGTCCAGGCAGCGGAATTGTCTCATATTTACGTTTTTGCTTAACCAGAATGTCATTTTCATATTGGTGCCTTGGTGTCCGCTGAAAGGCTCTTTGCTGCTATCAGACCATTGACGGAATGCGCGGTTGTCTGTCGGAATATGTGTCGTTAGGTCGCTGATGCAGTGCGCGGTCCCCAGCTAACATGAACCGTCACATCACTGATGCAGTGCGCGGTCCCCGGCTAACATGAACCGTCAGGTCACTGATGCAGCGCGCGGTCCCCGGCTAACATGAACCGTCACATCACTGATGCAGCGCGCGGTCCCCGGCTAACATGAACCGTCAGGTCACTGATGCAGCGCGCGGTCCCCGGCTAACATGAACCGTCAGGTCACTGATGCAGTGCGCGGTCCCCGGCTAACATGTACCGTCACATCACTGACGCAGTGCGCGGTCCCCGGCTAACATGTACCGTCAGGTCGCTGGTGCAGTTTGCAGTTTTCGGCCAATATGTGCCGTCAGTTCACTGATGCAGCGCGCGGCCTCACCGGCTGCCTCTGTTCCCTCTCACGTCAGTGGCGGGTAGCGCCCCTGGCGCCTGTCGGGTCCCGCGTGACCTACGTACCGATGGCATGTCCCAGACATGGTGTCCGTCGCGCCGACATACCAGCGCAAGTGCACGATACACAGGCACGGCCACCACTGCCGCAACACGAGTGTCGGTGGCGTGGGCGAACGACGGGTGACCCAGCGCGAGATGCAGGTCATTTTGTGTACGCACCGTTTGACGATTTAATCGCATTTGTTGTGGCCACCACGATGAGTTGGCGGCTTGAGATTTCCCTTAACGAGGTTTGTTACATTAAGGCTCGTGGAATCCGTGATTGGAAGCATGCCGTTCTTGGAAAGGCAAGAGCCGTAGCTCCTTGGAAATGTGAGAGTCGCGGCCTCCCGTTCTTGAGAATGTGAGAGCCGCAGCATTCCGTTCTTGGGAATGTGAGAGCCGCAGCATCCCGTTCTTGGAAATGTGAGAGCCGCAGCATCCCGCTCTTGGGAATGTGAGAACCGCAGAATCCTGTTCTTGTGAATGTGAGATGAGCAGCTTTTTGCGCCATGTCTGGAACGGCACACTTATTTTTGGGGTGTGGCTGTGGCGAGACCCCACTGATAGGTCCTCGGGTTTTTTTTTTGCCTGATCGCTGAACAGTCGTGGTGTCACTGTAGCTTGCACATAATCTAAGAATTGTTTAAAAACGGGAATTATAACTGTGATACGATCTTGTGTTATGCTGCTTTTTATAGGAACTTTCGCTGCAACGGGTCATTATTACCCAAGAATCTGAATACAAAAGCTCCCCTTATTTAAAGGAATGTTTCATGCTTGAAGATATTTAAGCAAGCATCAAATATGATGAAACAAGCTCAGTTACAGATACTGGTATGCTTTTTAAGTGGAAAAAATTGTTCTAGACAGCACAATTCTCTGGTTAGTAAAGATGCTCCTCAGTGCGTCACGGTTTAATTACGTCATCGCACCTGGTACAACATTGATTGAGAGCCAATGGACGGCCGTTTATCGCCGAAAATCACGCTCAGGAACGCCAGATATGAACGCCTCGACAATTATTTTTGTCTTGGCCTTGATTGCCGCATGGCTTATGTAATCGCAGGATTTGAATGGCAACGTTATGAACGTCGGGGTGACTTTGAAATACCCTCCCCAATATATTTTCCCCATTTCTGCGGGCGTGTAGTTCGGAGACTAGGGGAGCTTAGGTTTTAAAAAGGTTTGAGTTGTTAACAACACCGGAAGGTCCTCAACACAGCTAAAAATGGCCATTGCCATTCAGCCATAAATGTCGATCAAACCCCTTTAAACGGAACCTTGCGCTCTTTCGTTAGAGCCATTAAGTTTAGAAACCCTAAAACACGATTCATCACCATCGATCACGGAAAAGGGTTGGCGATGCTTTAAATGGCTCATTGTGGCTGGCACTGTGATATCATTTGTTTGTTGAGTTTTGTGAACATCTTTTAAGTTGAGAGTGATACCGGTTCATTCTCGCTGACTTCCTTAGAAGTGCTTTGTTTATTGGCGGCCTGCCAGGCCATATTTTAACATGTTCACTGGGGAAATCCAATGCCTCAACAGTCACTAAAAATACCTTCACAATCATACACTTTCGCCTGTCTTGTGGAAACAATGCTGAGATTTCAAACACCCTAATTAAATTTCAAAAACAGGGTGGCCGGGCTGAATGAAATGTCAAGCAGATACACTTGAACATAAGGAAAAGTCAAGGCATATGTAACAGCCAGGACATTTCCTTCCATCCAGAATGTTCCTTAGTTTAAGAGCGGACAAGACCCATAAACTGTTCCTTTCTCGATCTCCGCAGTCGCCTCCGCAGTCAAATTTCCGTGATTAAAATATACTCTCGCTTGCGACATGGGACAGTGCTAGAATTCTGACCACATCTTCTGCATTGAAGACCCCTTCTTGTTATGATCTTTGAGTAATGCACGTTAGACCCCATGTGCCATGACTTATTCATGATGCTATTGAACGTGCTGCAGTCGGAGGCCAAGCTGCGCTACCTTAAACGGCATTCACGCTCGGCGCGGCGCGGCGTCGTTGTTTGTATATTCTCCCTCTATCAGGCTCTTTCAAGAAGATCCAGCAGCTGATGGCCACTGCTCTCTTTTATTTATCTCTGTCGCCGCTTTCTCCCGTGGCCATAATTTGCTATTGAACGAACTATCCGCGCACGTGTCGGATTCCGAACGAACCCGAACAGGTGCGTCCGCGCCGGCGTCGCGAGGGGCGAAAAGCGCTGGCTGACCGTGCCACTCACGCCCGTATTGACGCAGGGCTGGCAGCCTCCAGCAGACGCTGTGCCCGGCGGCCGGCCTGGATGGGGTGGGGGCGGGGAGGTGGTGAGGGGAGGGGCATGGCCCGGGCGAGACACGGTCGAGGCTGTAAGACGATTGCTGCGTCGGATTCGGTTTGGTGTTATGC